CGATCAGCCAGCACCTGCCTTTCCAGTGCCCAGTCAGCCACAATTTTAAAATCTAGGATTTCAGCTTTTCCGCTCCAGCTAGTTTTGCCAGAACTCGTGCCTGCGCCCCTCGCATCGTACGTGTACGTCTTGATGCCCCTTTGCAAGAAGATTTGCGCTGCGTGCTGGACTGTTGCATCTCTCTGTGATCCACCCAGCGGTGCGTAGGCTGGTCATGGAGCCGGTAGACATGTCAGCTCCAACTTACAGGGGTGGTGGGACGATTGGGGGCTGGGAGGGGAGAGTAAAGTTGAAGGGGAAGATGCATTTTGTTTGGCGACTCACGATGCGCAATGATGGCTATACGCGCTTGCTTGCGGACGCGGGCAGCCCTGGACAGCCTTGCTGCGGGCATCGATGCGCTCGATGCTCTTTCCTGCTCATGGTCCGAAGCAGCCAAATGTGAGTGTATGGATGGAGCTGCTGCGAACGATGCGTCGCCTGCTACTCTGTGCATGTTGACCTTGTACTCCGTCACGCTCAAGTCGATGTCGTCGGGCGTATGCACACGATGAGCAGTGCGCGTGATCATGGTACTGCTGCTCTGATATTCGCTTCACGTGCTTCCTCCATCCATCGTCCTTCCGGCGATGAAGTCGAGAGATACGAGCCTAATGTCCTCCCCTCAGCTGGGTCAATAAGTCACTGCTACTGCTTCGTTGAGTCCAAGCACTGCCTGTGCTCGAGTCATGCAAGATGTGATCTGCTTCTTCCATTTGCTCGCATTAGCTCCAAGTATTTCCCTTTCGAAGATTCAACCTGTTCGCAGATAGATGGGGAACAGCAAGAAAGGGACACGAGGTACAAGTACATCGATGCTCGACTCGACTCTGTTGATTTGCCCTCCTCACCTGCTGTTCTCCTTGCCGCGCGCGCTACTTGACGCTGGCTTGTGGCAGTGTTGGGCACGTGATGACGCTTTAGCGCTTGACTGCCGGCTGCCGGCCGCCGGCTTTCGTCTGATGCCCGACGCCGACGAAGCGCGCAAAGGGAGGGGCAACTAGCAATGGGGCGCATAGCGTAGCGCACCCTTTACACTCACTCGATGCTCATCCAACTCCCACCATCCACGCAACTTTTTTGACTCTTCCTCTTCAGCCTAGGCGACCAGGGGCAGGCAGCGACGAATCTCATTCGTGATTCGACTTGGGAAGGAACGCGCGCGCGCAATTCCTCGCAAATCGAGGCAGCCAATCACACGCATCCAGCCAGGCTTTGGGCTCCTAGCAGACGGCGGGCGCAAAGCTACGATGGGCCTGTGGGATTATGGTAGTCGATTGGTGTCTGGCTTGTCGGGCGCGGGTGCGGGTGCGAAGACAGGCACGGGTCAGAGTCAGAGTGGCAAAGGGTTGATAGCAGAGGCGAATCCGATGCTGGGTTCGCTCTACGACCTTTCCACTTCACAACCCGCACGCGCACAAGCACAAGCACAACCATCCAACTCCAACTGCAACTCCATCTCCATCTCATCCTCTTCTTTGCCCTCCCTCTTGCGCGCACACGCCCCCACAGTGCTTCATGGACCCTTCACACCTACTCGCTGGTTATCCCTGCCCCTCACCTCCCTCGCCTCAGGTCATGCCCAAACCATATACAGCGTACTGGCCCCCACCCAAAAGCCAGACTACGATCCGGTCAGGTACAAGAGGTATGTGCTGCTCACCACCGATGGAGGCACAATCAGTGTGGATGTTGCCGAACCGGAGTTGCAGGATGCTTGGCGCGATGATGCGGGGGTGGAGCACGAGCACGCGGATGGGCACTCAAAGACAAAGACGGACGAAAACAGACCTACGGTGGTCATTGCGCATGGATTGACAGGCGGAAGTCATGAGAGCTAGTGAGTAGAGCGATCGGCGGGCACGTTGGCAAGCGGCCAGCGCTTGTTACTCGTCGTGACTGCACACGCACGCCTCTTACTCTTGGCTAAAAGCTGCTCTGCTCTGCTCGGCTGTTTGCGTGTGCGTGTGCCCCCCTCCCCCGTTTCACAGCGTGCGGCACCTCATCTCCCACCTCGTCACTCCCTCTCCTCAGCGTCCAGCATCCAAATTGTACAGGTGCGCAGTGATCAATTTCAGAGGATGCGCCAACACTCCCGTCACTTCGAGACAATTGTACAGCGCGATGAAGACGGCAGATTATGCAAGCGGCTTGTCTTGGATTCGCAATCAGTGGCCCGACAGTGTGTGCGTAGGCGTCGGATTCTCCGTGAGTTCTCTTCTTCTTCCCTTTCTCGTCCTCGTCCTCGTCTCACGCGTCTTGCCCTTTCACAACAGCTCGGAGCCAATGTAGTGTCGCGCTACCTGGGCGAGTGGGGCGATCAGGCTCAATTATGGGGTGCTGCCGTGCTCGCGGCTCCCTTTGACACTCTAGCAGGTTCGCACTCTCTCGAGTCTGGTCTTCTCGGACCCATCTATTCCAAAGCCATGTGCAACAACCTGTCCGCCCTAGCCCGCGCACACAAGGACACGCTCTCCCTCGACAAGTCTCTTCGACCAGCTCTTCGACATCTCTTGGGGCCGCCTACTGATCAGACGGATCAATTGGACAGAGAGAGGCATCAGAAAAGAGGAACGTTGAAATGGGTGGATGATACCGTCACTAGACTTGTCGGGGGTCATCAACAACCTTTTGGATTGTTCCCTTTTGAAAGTTCACACGCTTACTACTCCAACGCTGGAGCGCTGTCTGTGTTGAAGCACGTGGCTAGACCTCTGTTGGTGCTCAATGCCGACGACGATCCCATCGTTGCGCCAGAGAGCGTCAAGGGTGTACGACAAGTCATCGGTCTAGATGCCGAGCAGGACGTGCATCAAGATGGCTCAGCCCGAGAACGTGGCAATGCGAACATTATCCTATGCACGACGCGGGGCGGAGGACATTTGGGCTGGTGGCAAGGAAATAGGAATCCGACGAGGTGGTTGGCGAAGCCTGTAGGAGAATTTGTGGATGCGATGGTCAAAGGGGCTCAGGATGTTTTGGCTTCTGCTGACGACGCCTTGGAGCATTCGGCCGGACCAGCGCAAAAGAGGAGGACAAAGCAAGTAGCTATCGAAGCGGAGCTTTTGGGTTGCGAGCTTCTGCCAGCTTGGGATGTGCAAGCCGAGTCGGAGACGGAGGAAGAAGATGCAAGAGGGACTGAAAGCGGAGACAAGTTCAAGAGGGGCACGCAGAATGCGGACAACACTACGACTTCGGCCAAAGCCGCCGCGCTGGCTCCTGTAAAAGGAGGAAGACACGCTTGGCTCTTGAGCCCCGTACTGCCCCTACCAAAAGGGGATGCAATAGCGCACGATCAGCTTTTGCATCCCAGCATGAGCTCGAGATACAGCGGGCCGGCTAAAGGTCAAGGAGAGATTTTGAAAAGCTTCATGGTGAGCGTCTTGTGTGGAAAGATCGTTGCGGCGTTCGAAAGCGTGCCACAAACTTTTCCGGGGGGGCGGCAGTCTCGGGGGCCGTCTAGTGGTGCGCCGCGCATCGTCGCAAAGAGCAGCGAGCCCCGCCGCAAAAGAGTTGCTGCTGATTTCAACTTTGATGCATCTCATCTTGCGACATAGACGGTAGATGAAGAAAAAGTGGAAATCGGATATTGTCTCTTGCCCGACCATTCGAATGTAGGTGAGTGTTCAATTCCAGCTCGGGGTGGGGAAAGGGGGGATGGAGAGACTGGACGGAATTCCAGAGGGTTCGACACGACCCACCATCCGTTCCCAATTCGCTCATGCCCCTCCCTCCCCCTTCTCATCATTCTCGTCTCGCATCACAGCTGGAGCAGGATCCATCTTCCGTGGTGGGGTGGATACGCCAGGCTCCAAAGAGAGCGGAGGAGCAGCTAGTGGCTCAGGCACTATCCGAGGTCTGTAAATTCCCACATGTTCAGCCATGCATGCATGAAGTAGCCCACCTCTTTTCCTTGCCGCACTCCGCATCGCTGAGCTTCCATGTAGCTCATCATTCAAGCACTCGACCCTGTTCCCATGTACATGCACTCCAAATTCGTCACGTCATCCGCGTCCGCGAAATTCATTCGCACATTGGGCAGTATCGACTTTGCAATCCCAATGCGGCAGAACTTTTTCCCCCCCGTGGCAAAATACCTTTTACTCTGCGAAACACTTTTACTTTCTCCACACGTGCGTGACCCATCCAGCAGAAGCCGGCAGTGTAGAATCGCATTCGATTGCTCGCATTCAAAATACAGACTTTTTCCCCATGCATCACGTCGACTCTCGACTCGTCGGCCCGTCCAGGTACGCACCAGCAAGCCTGCACGCATAACCTCGCCACCTCATCAGAACTTGACTTTGGGTCAGAAGCGAGCGCAAATGCAAAGTAAGCGCCACGTTCTGTGCCTAGCCCGCACCTCACTCATCCCATTACGATCTCCACGACTGCGCGAAAACACCAATTTTGGGTCGGTTCAAAGGCACGAGTCAAAGACAGGCATACAAATTTCCCTAGAGTCTCGGGCGTCTAAAGTGCTCCTCGCTAGCGACGACTGCGCAGTCGTCTCAACGGCTCAGGTGATAGTCTAGCCCGAACAACGAAGTGAGAGAATGTCAGTGGGCGATGCAGGGGACCATGCAATAGGCACAGCAAAAGGCACTCACCGTCGATTCTGAGCAAGAGCGCGACCGTCTCTGTAGCCAATTCGATGGCGCTGGTATTGACCAGCAAAGGCTGCAACACATTCTCCTCCAAAATGTTTGTAATCTGTCCCTTTCTCACATTGATACCCGCCGTCCTCTCTCCCAATGCGTGCCGATTCCTCAGCTCCGTCACAATGGCGATTGGGTTCAGACCCGCATTCTCCGCTAGCGTCGTCGGCACAATCTCTAGCGCTTCGGCATAGGCTTGGAAACAGTAGGCTTCCATGCCCGTCAACGTCTGCGCGTGCTCTGCCAGAAGACGTGAAACGTGCACCTCGGGTGCCCCTCCACCAGCAATCAGGTAGCTTTTGACAAACAGCGCACGAAAGGGCGTCATGTAAGCAGAATGCACCTGTTCACCGTCCCTTTTTTTTTTTTTTTTTCTTCTTTCATGTTTTGCAACTCACCGCTTCTTGACCAGGCACCTAACAACGCAGAGCGCATCGTGCAGAGATCTTTCACTCTCGCCAAGCACCAAAGCATTGGCACCGGTGCAAAGCACGCTGACCGTTCTGCCCATGTTCTTGATTCCCGTAATCTTGGCAATCTTGGCTCCGCTCTGTTGAATCTCCTCCACCAAGTCCGCGCTGGCCAGCTTGTCCTCCGAAAAGTGTTCAATGTCCGCAATGGGCTTTGCGCCGAGCGTCTTGCTCACAAACTCGATCTCATCCCGCTCCACATCCTTGATAACGAGGATCTTGAGCTTGGCAAGGAAATGGAGAGCTAGTTCGTTGACTGCATCTCGCAAGATCGACTTTTGGATCAAGAGTACGTTGCAGCCAGTCTTCTTGATCTTCTTGCACATGTTCAATAGATATTGTCGCTCCTCCTTAAGGATCTTATCCATCTGACGGTAGTCGTTGACCACGATCTGGTTGTCCATCTGTTAGAAGGCGCGAGAGCAGAGTGTCAGCTGACGCATCTTCAGAGCTAAGTGCAACGCAACTCACGTCAGGTTTGGGGCTGCTCAGCTGGAACTGGCACAGGGCGATGCGAGCCTTCTCCACACGACTCGGACCACCGGATCCAGTCACGACATTCTGCTCCAATACAAGACCCTCGACGAGCTCCGTATCATCAATGGTTCCTCCCACCTTCTTGACAAGTCTAATGTCGCGCAAGTCGACATTCGCTGCTTCCTCTTTGCCCACGGCTGCCTGTCCACCAGAGGCTGGAGAGGTGGAGGACAGTGCTGCACTTGTTGCAGATGCGTCGCCTGATGGCAGAACGGGAGATGATGCGTTCACGGGCGACTTGGGACGGGAGGAAGAGTGAGGTGCGCGAACGAGTCTTGTGACTGCCTCGACGGCGATGGGAGCAAGGACAGACGAGTACTGCGAGACAATCTGAGAGCGAAGTGTGGCATGATGTCGCAGGTATGAGATATCCGCCAAAAGATCGACGTGAAAAGTGCACCTCTCACCTTTGAATTAAGACTTGTGCTTGCGGCTCTGAGCAAGCTTTCCTTGTCTTCGAGCTTGATAGGTGTAGCAATGTCCGTCAAGTACTCTACAGCCTTTCCTGCGGCCCTCTGGAAGCTCTCGGCAATGAGCGTAGGATGAATGCCCTTATTGAGCATCTTTTCCGCAGCGCCCAAGAGACTACCGGCAATGACGACGACGGAAGTGGTACCATCACCAGCTTCAACGTCTTGCGCTTGAGATAGCTCGACGAGCATGCGCGCTGCAGGGTGCATGACTGCCATGTGCTTCAGAATAGTGGCACCGTCGTTCGTAATGACCACTTCTCCACTTGCGGTTTGGATCTAAGCGGCGGCGCAAACGTTGGACTGAAGTCAGCAAAGCGGCTTTCCTCCAACATCACGCAAGCAGGGCTGCCATACGCAGCAAACTGCCCAAGGCTTGCGCTCGCCCCTCTACTGCGCTCCATCGGCTGACAATGGTTGTACCAAGGCCGTGTCCAAGTATACTCGCTCGACACTGACCATCTTGTCCATGCCCTTGGGGCCCAGGCTGGTCCTGATGGCATCCGATACGGCCTTGGCAGCGTTCAAATTGGATCTCCTGACTTCGTCCGGTTTGTCCTGAGTCTTGAAGGCTCGTCTTTCCCTGGCTCCGCCTGGGGCGGGAGCCGTAGCAGCTGCAGTAGGAGCTGACATGATTGCAGTGCAAGACCGCCTGAGCTCGTGTGTTGATCTGGTAGCCTGCGAAAGCCGTGATGGTGGCAGTTTTCGCCTATGACGCTAGGGTGGAGCGGTGTCAATTTCGCTCGTCTCATGCCCAGCCTGCTTGCTGCTGAGGCCAAACAAATTCACGACTCAGACTCACGACTGGAAATGTGAAGAAGGAACAGCTGGACGCGTCGAGCGCGCGAGCGCGCGAGCCACTCGAAGCTTTCAGCGGGACGCGCAAGCTGATGATGCATCACGTGAAGACTGCATGTGCGACGAGTCCTCGTCCACGTGGTGAGCACTCTCGTACAGCTTCAGAGGCGATGCACATCATAGATGACGCTGGTCGGACCGGTGGTTGGTGATCAAGGCGACGGATGGATGGCTCACACAC